CTCGTACTTGACCAAAATATGGAGTGACAAAAGGAATGTGTTATGGTTCCATGATAGGTTATATTGTATCATCGATCCCCATGTGAATTGGGTAGTTGTAATGTCTTGCTAGATGCTATTTGTGACTTATAGACTAATAGCATAATTAGCCTACTATCAATTTCATATGGGCCTACAGGGTTGCACACAAGAACAGCTTAACTTGAGCTATAATGTTCAAGTTCATTGATTTTCGAATATGTCTAGATTCAATGAATGTAATATAGGGTGAATGAATTATATATATATATATATATATTTGAATATTTATTTGATAAATATTTATATATATAGTTATATGAAATTTAAAATATAATTATATAATATATAATATAATATATATATATATATATATATATCCATATGTGTGTGTGTGTGTGTGTATGATATATGTATATGATATATAAAATTAAATATAGATAATATAATATATATACATAAATATTTTTGAAATATATATGTATATATATATTCATATGTGTATATATATATAATATAATATGTATATATGATATATATATATATATTATAATATTATATTATATTATGTTAGTTTTAAATTTAATTTTATATGATAGATTAAATTTAATAACTAACATGATATGAAAGAATATCATGTTAGTTTTATAATTTAAATTTATAAGATAAATTTGAATTAGATGTGATATCATGGATTAAATTTATGAGATAAATTTAATTATATTTTCATGGACCTTTTAAGCGGAAGACGAAAACCCTTATCTATATACTATATATAGATAGAGACGTCCTTTATGAAGGATGAGAGAGTTATAAAAGTTTTGACGGCAAAAACACTTTAAGAGCCATGAAACACCCTATAGAAAGGAAAAATAACATTCAAAGAAGAACGAACGCTAGGAGCGCTAGCACACTATTTGAGTTAGAGAGCTATTTGTGTGGATACCGGTAGAGGAAGCAGATCTACATTGTCAAATCTTGAGATCCAAACTCTTGAAAAGAACGTGCCCTAAGTACAAAGAATTAAAAGGTAACCCTTTTATCTACCTTGACTTTTTACGAGTTCATTCGATCCATATCAAGATACGAACTTTAAAATTTTAATCTTCCACTGTGCCTCTCTATCTAACAGTGGTACCAAAGCCAAGTCGAATTTTCATGTTGGGTTTTGGTTAATTATGTTCTTAAATTTTCATGTAAAGAACTTCTTTGGATGAACATTGCTTTAAGATTTTTAAAATTTATATGTGATATTTTTAAAATCTATATATGTTTTTCATGTGATGTTTTCGAAACATATATATATATAAACTCGTTTTACACATATTTGAATTTATATAAATTTAAATAAATTAACATGATTAATATTTAGCTATATGATGTGCATTCTCAATATGACTAATGTTCGTCTATATGATGTGCGTTCTCAATGTCATTATTATTTGTCTACATCCTCATAGTGGGACCACTGTGGCAAACTCTGCATAGTACAATCTAATTCACAATTTATAGCCTTTCATTATATATGAATTGTTCATTTGTTGTGTGTTTTTTTTTTGCCTTGAAGTTGTTTGGGTATGGTGACACATATGGCTTTAGTTTTACAAGGGTTGTAAATTTTAAATACGGCCTGCATGTCATGCCTCTCTCTATAAACTCTAAATGTACATTCTCTTCCCATCTCAATCCCCTTGTATGTATAAATAAGGTTTCTTGGTGTAATTTATCTTCTTAGAGAGGTCCTCTCATTGGCTTGGGATGGACATAGGTTAGGTGAGCTATATTGTGTCACGTTTGATTATGCTTTTGTATGAGATACAATTGCATGATCATAATATGCATGATTTTGTATGAGAGACAATTGCATTCACTTTACACGATTATTAAATTAATAAATCAAACCCTCTAATCAAAATCTTAAGTCACAATGTCATTAATATTTAATGAATACTTGTCAAAACTTAAATCACTCTAATGTAAGATCTACTAAAGTGGATACATTTGGATTATCTTGGTGAGACAAGTGTGAGTAATGGTGATCCTCACAAATATTCATTATTGTTTGACTTAATTGAGATTATCAAAATAGTTTTGGATCTCAAGGCATTAGATGGGATTGAGCATGATGGATCATATGATGATTGAATCCCCCAAAGATCTAAGTGTTACATGTGATGTAATTGGTAAATGAGTTGCTTACCTAAATAACTTAATTTTAAGTGTCTTGCCAAAGCGAACTTAAATTTAAGTGAAATATGGGTCTTAGCCTACTAATCAAATTTAAGAGTTGTTAGTTTTAGTGGGAAATATAAAATTAACTTTGTATATTTTATTGTAGAATCATATTGACTAGTAATAATGCTACACTATCATTGCGATCAGTCCTTGAGAAGGACAAACTCAATGGGACGAACTTTCTTGACTAGTTTAGGAACTTGAGAATTGTTCTCAAGTAGGAAAAAAAGGCTTATGTCTTGGATGAACCCATTCTTGAGGAGCATACAGCCAACGCTCTAAGAGCTCTAAATGGATGCTTACATAAAGCACACCAATGACTTAGTGGATATAGGATGCCTAATGCTAGCTACCATAGTTCCAGAATTTCAAAGAGATTTAAAACACATGAAAGCTTATGAGATAATTGTACATCTTGAGGAAATGTTCCAACAATAGGCAAGGTAAGAGAGGTATGAGACCATAAAGGCCTTACACTTTTGCAAGATGGCTAAGGGTGCATTAGTTAGCACTCATGTTCTAAAGATGAAAAGCTATATTGATCACCTTGAGAGGCTCAGATTTCCCTTAAGCTAGGAGTTAGCTATAGATTTGATCTTGAACTCACTCCCGAAAAGTTATGACCAGTTTGTTATGAACTATAACATGAAAGACATGCAGAAATCCATTTTTGAACTGTATCAGATGTTTAAAATTATTGAGTAAAACATTAAGAAAAGGCCTAACACTATTTTAATGGTTCAGAAAGGAAAGGGTATGAAAAAGAAAAGTAAGGGCAAAGGCAAGGGAAAGGATAAAGGCTTAGATGGTAAGACCAAAGAGTCAGACAAGCCTGAAACCAAGCCTCCAAATAAGAAGGCAAAGCCTCCAAAGGAAGGAGTTTGCTTCTTTTGCAATGAACCAGGTTATTGGAAGAAGAACTGCAAGCTTTACCTTGAAGATATGAAAAAGAAGGATAGCAGGGCTACTCTTTTAGGTATTTATGTTATAAACATTCACCTTTCTACTTCTTCGGCATAGGTATTAGATACTGCATGTGGTTCTCACATTTATACAAATGTGCAGGGTCTTAGAGACAGTAGAAAGTTGATGAGGGGCAAAGTGGACCTATGAGTTGGAAACAGAGCAAGAGTTGCTGCTCTAGCTATGGGCACTTATGAATTACTTTTGCCCAATGTGAAACCTCCTTGAGGTTAAATCACACTTAACTCCAAATTTTAGTAATCTAGGACTTAACTCACAAGAATTACCAAACTATAGGGTTCCTAAATGAATCTTTCAAAATCTACTTCAAGGAATCCCAATTTTCAACCTTTCAAATCTCAAATACAATTTAAGGATTTCAAATTAGAGTTTTGAAAATAAAGCATAAGCTTGAAAATCAATTGGGACCCAAATAATGAGTTTTAAAACTCAAAACAGATTTTTACACTAATTTTGACAGGTGTGCCATGGCATGTCTCCTCTGTGCCATGTGTCGCGGCGTGAGGCGCCATGTACCGTGATGCATCGCATGAAATTTAACAGATTAGTGCTGTCATTTGACAACACAGGGAGCAGACTTCTGATGTATCCCAAATCTTCATCCGACGTCCGATTGAGGTGGTTTTAGTGTCTACACAGAGCTTTCTCCTAGCTCTAACTAATGGCATCGATTTTACACTCAATTCATTTTCTATCAAAAGTTGGACACTAAAACTCATTTTGATAAATTTTCACAAAATTTCCCAAATGGAGTGTCCCAATTCAACCACACGTGGCAATAGCCTATATTAACCCTCCGATCACACTCAATAGACTCTTGTGGACTGTGAAACACACCACATACAATCAAAAATACTTGTTTTACAAAATCACCACTCAACCCCAATTTTCGCAAAACATAGAGGGGGAGGAAAAGTTACATAAAATCAACCATTGCATTCATATTTCTCAAAAATACATATGTTGCTGCTTGCATAAGTATTTTGGCCCTATCCTCAAGTTCACAACAAAAGCTCACTGACCCAGGGCACAAAATACACTAGTTAAACACAAAATTATGTAAGTAGTAAACCAATCATGACAATTGTTCCTAGTTGGCAAATACATTAACAATTACCCATGTAAATAACTAAAGAGAGACAAAAAGAGGATTTACTCTATAAATCCTAAGTCTCTGTGTGTTTTTCTCGACTTGGATCCGATGAGCTAGTCTCTCAAAATATTAAGAATTAAGGAATGAGTACAACCACTCAGTAACCAAGTTTCACTTAACCTTTACAGTTACATATTAATTGTAAATATATGCAAAAGGCACATAACACATATATCACATAGTATTGGGCCACGGTTCACATAACTAACAACTATATGATCAGACTTGCCACAAAACACTATATCATGTTGTTTTCAAAAACATAACTCAGGGTCATTGTGAACACCGTATTTTGTTCGGACCATTTTTTAATAGTAAAATCAAAAAAATATAAAATAAAATAATAATAAATAATAATATAAAAATGAAATTTAATCCCTTTTTAAGATTATATTTTCAAGAAATAATAATAATGATAATTTAACAAAATTAAAAAGAAAGGTTAAATCGTGAAAAAAGAAAATCTCTCCCAAATTATCCCAATCATTCAAGAATATTGGGAGTCTACTTTTGAGAGTTAACTTTTCTCTCCTCAATCCTATTTTCATTTAAATACATATCTTATATATATATATATTATGTGTGTGTGTGTGTGTGTGTGTATTAATCAGAACAAAATCACAAAATAAAAAAAAAAGAAAGAGCTGGACAAAACGCTGATAAAGTCAGCGTTTCATCACAGACAATCGGGCACACACGAGCAGAAACTGCACACACACACGAGAGAACAGAAGGAAAAAGCACAGCAAAGAAATGCAGAAACAACAAAGAAACATAGGCACAGAGACACAAAAACAAAAACAAGCAAACACTTTCGCCCATGCAGCAGGAAAAAGGATAGAAACAGTAGAACACATGAACACATGAGCCACGGACGCCGAAAGAACCAGAGGCAACAGACATGAAATGCAGAAGAAGCCAAACAGAGCAGGAAGAACAGCAAGCAACTGGAACATGTACGCTTATGCTTTCAGCTGGCAGGAGAAAAGAAACAGAACCAGGGACAAACACATGCATGAAGGAAATGGCACAGCAGAGAAAGCAGATGGGACAGCACAGAAAATAGAGACAGAAACACAGAAGAAACAGATCAGGAGAGTAATGATTCACGTTGTCCATTCTCTATATAAGGAGAAGACGGGAACAGCGAAAAGGAGGAGAAGCAATGTAAAAAAAATATATAGAGGAAGAGGGACCGAAGGACGTGAGGCAGAGAGCTAAGATGAGAAGGAGAGAGAGCTAAGACAAAAACGAAGAAGGAGGAGTCTAGAAAGGAAGAGAATACGGTGACTGGAAAGAGAGAGCTCAGACAGAGGAAAGAGAGGACCGGAAGACATGAAACAGAGGCTGAGACGGAGGAGAGGGTGAAAACAGAGACAGGAGAGGACGTGGCGGAGGAGCTTTTCTTTCTGGAAAAGCTGAGAAGGAAACGAGGGAGGCTAGAAGCTGAACGAAAAAAAGATAGAGACGGAGAGAGGTGAAACAGAGGCTAAGGGAGAAAGACTATTCCGGCTGGAACAAAGTAGAGGAAACGAAGAAGAGGAGCGCGTTTTTTAGCTGGAGAAAGGAAGGAGAAACGTACGCACGGAAGAAACAAAAAATAGAGCACGAAAGGAAAAGAAGAAAAGAGGCGGAGAGGAGAAAGAAGAAACAAAAACGGAGAGGAGAAAGAAGAGGATGAGACGCGAAGGAAAATTTTCTCAAAACAAAGAAAACGAAGAAGAGGAAGAGATCAAAGAGGGAGGAGTGACAGGAGTAGTGAGACAGATCTGGATGTCCCATACACGCAGGTTCTTGCTTCTGAATCCAAAATATATGTGTTTAATTTTCTGTTTACTATTTCAAAATGGATTTCATGTTTAAATGTTTTGTCTCATATTTTTCAGCTCTCAAATGGTTTCATTGCAATTGTCATATTTTTTTTAAGAAAAGAGAGTTTGAAAAAGAAAAAATAAAGAAATTGCAAATAATAATTTTTGTTTCCTATCATAGCTAAGCTAAATTTGATTATTAGGCACAATTTCATTTCAAATAGAGAATTAGTGTAATTATTAAGCGAGGTCTTTAAATGTGTATATTAACATGTATGAGCATTATTTCTTTATCTCCATTAGTGCTAAGGTCCTTTACTTGTCATTAACATTACTACACTCATATCATATGGCATTCTCCATCACGATTACATGTATGTTTTCATTTATTATGACAAGCCTATTTTATAAAAAGCAGAAGGGAGAGAATTCGATTCTTACCCAATTTCAAAAAAAATGAAATGAATAAGAGAAAAGTTCATCTCTAATCATTTACTTGTCATGTGAGATTTTAAGAATTTCCGTAAACATTTAAAGTGGTCTCATACCGTGTAAATCAATAAGATTTCGCAGGTATAGAGATCCAATTTATACGTATAATCAATGGTTTCAATGACCAACCGTTAAAACTAACTATCTTTTTATAATCTAAATAACCCATTTAAGTTCCATGTGGGATTTTAAGAATCTTCATAGGGACTTAAATTAATCACATTATCGTGTGGGATAATAAATCCTCGCGGGTATAGTGATCCTCAATTTTTATTTTGTAAATAATCATATAATACACAATTTAAAAATTAATTAATCAAATTAATGCATTTAACCTGTAACCATATTTACTGATTATATCTTTTAGTCATGTGAGATTTTTGAAATCTCCGTAGGCTTCTAAGATCATCGTATTATCGTATAAGTCAATAAGACTTTGTAGATATAACGATTTAGTTTTTAAAATATATATACACACATATATATTATATAATTAATTAAATAAATTAATTAAATTTAATTCTTTTATCATGTGAGATTTTAGAATCTCCGCAGATATTTAAGATAAATCATATTACCGTATAAGCCAATAAGGCTATACAGGTATGATGATTAAAATTCTTTAAAAACATATATACATACTTAAGTGAAATTATTATTAACACTTAAAGATACACATAAAAATATAAATAAATAAATTAAATGGCCAAACTCTTTTATCGTGTGAGATTTCAGAATCTCCGTAGATGTTTAGAGCGATTGCATTATCATATGAACCAATAAGGTTCTGCAGGTACTGCGATTAAAATTCCCAATCATAAAAGATAATAATAATAATAATAATAATCTTAAACTCTTTTCTTTCTTTATTCCAAGAATTCAAAAATGGAGAAAATAATTAAAATTAAATTACCTTTTGCAATTTAAAACACACATATCAAAATTTTAGAAATTGTTTTATTTGCAAAATGGTGAATTGTTTCTAATTAATTTCCCTTCAAAAAATATATTTTCACCAACAATTTTCAAGCCCGAACTACGTGGATTTTGATCCTCATCACAGGGTATGTAGGCCTCAGAGTCAGATTCTGAGTCAAGTCCGTCCTCCCTCGTAAATAAATAAACATTTCTCACCTAATTCTTATCATTTTTATCAAACACATGAATACAAAAGGGATAATTAAAATAATTATAAAACCATATTAAAAAAAAAGCACAATGAACTTCAGGTAACCGTTCTGACGAATGGGTGTTGTGGGGTGCCTAACACCTTCCCTACACTCACCTAATCTCTGATTTCGCAGACCACCCTTATCTCTTTTTAAATGGTTTTCCGAGATTTCCCTCAAAATCTTGGTGGCGACTCCTCGTTCGATCCGGTCCCGCCGCGAAGGCCGGGACCTCCGCTCGCGCGCCGTCCGCGTCGCATTTTTCCAGGTGCGACAGTCACAAAAATAACAACCATGCACCTTTAACACATGCCGGACCATAATATTAACAATCATGTGGCCAGCCTTATATGCATGATCGTGTGCCAACCTTATATCCTTCTGTTACCTCCGACACAAAACCGGTGGCTATCACGTGGCTACGTCCTTCATGAACTAACCCAGCCTTCAACTTGTGAGGAGCTACTAGGCCAGGGTTAACTCTCTCATTTATGTAATCTGGTTTCCCCTAATATTAACAACCATGGGGTGTCGTATCCCTAATCGAGCCTCCTCATGAATCGATGGAGACTAGTTATGTTTAAGTCCTTCGTAGAACAAGTGGGACAGTCTCGAATCAATCATGGGACAAGGGCTACCTCCCGATTCCTATGGTGGGTGCCAAGGCTAGTTCCCGATTCTAATAGTCACTGTCAATACCACGTGAATTTTCAATCAAACTACTCCTCTCCTTATGCAAACTCTCGCCAATGATCATGCCATGTACATTTCATACATGTTATGCATTTCAACATTTGTTACTCAACACATGACTCACATAACATGTATACTTCACATTTTAACACATAATTCATCAAAATTCTCCACCCACAGTAAAAAATCACAATTAATTTCATAAAACATCAAGGATGGTAGAATCAAAGTTTTATTTCTCAAAACCATTCATACTCAAACATTTGTCAATATGCATCATCAAATTAACTCACAAATCATATTTTCAATATAATTAACATTTAACTATAAAAATTAAGTTTTTCTTGATTATCTCAAACCTTTGAGAGGTCAAAAGTTTACCATTCACTATATCAACTTTTTCAAGCTTCAAGAAGCTTGAAAGGTGCCAAGACAAACCTCTCTACAACCAAGTTATAATGATATCATCATCATCTAGCTCTTCAAGCTCTATCAATATAAAAACTCCTCATACACTATTTTATCAATTCGTAACTACTACCCATTCATATCCAATGGGCTCATTAGATTTCATTAATGTACATTATCATTAATAACACTCAAACCATTATTAATGTACATTAACCTCTCCAAACTACATCATAAATATCAATTTTCAAATATTAAATGCTTTTATAGACCAACCACTTCTAAAATCATCAATGTGATGTTCCAATATATTAAATCACTCCCATTAATCTCATTTAAACCAATGAAATCAAACCCATATTCTTATAGACCAAAAATCCATCTTCTAACTCAAACCCTACCATAAATAATCATAAATGAGAGAGGGAAGGGAAGAAAGAAGCACCATAATCTTACCTTGGGTGTTTAGGAGCTTCAATCTATCCACAATGGAGCCAAATATCGTGCTTTAGTAGAGCCAAAACTAAGCTCTTCGTTTTCCTCCTCTCTTCCTCTTTTGTTGTCACACAGCTCACGAGCTGATTTATTTGATTTTTGGTCGTGCGCCACGACGCATGCTGCCTTTCGCCGTGGCATATGGCACAAAGGAGCCTGTTATGTTCAAATTATGTTCGTGTACCGCGGCGGACCAACCATGCGTTGCGGTGTGTGGCACAAGACATAACTTTTCACTTTTTCATCCTCTTTCCTTGCCCGGGTGGCCCGTCTTCAATCCAAACCTACTTTTAAGGTTGAAATCATATTGATTATGTCGAGTTAAGCCTCTTTGACCACATACTTCATTAACTCACTAACTACTCTAATTAAGTTAACAAATCAAGGTTAAAATTTTCCGAATGTTACACAGTAGGCTTTTGTTAGTTTTAAACAATTGCTATTATGTTCGTGCTTTGAGTAGCAACATTGTTTCTCTTTCTTATTTGGTACTTCCATTACTAGGAATGGTAAATGTTCTATTTATCAAAATGATATTTTTTATACTAATGATGATTTGCATTTTGGTCATTATCTTTTAAATCTAGAACATCCTAGTAATGAAGACATCTATAACGTAACTACTAAAAGGATCAAATCAAACAATTTGAATCCAACCAACCTATGGCATTGTCGTCTTGGCCATATAAATGAGAAATGCATTTCTAAGCTCTATCAAGAGGGACTTCTTAACTCGTTTGATTTTAAATCTTATGACACTTGTGAATCTTATTTATTAGGAAAGATGATAAAAGCATCTTTTTATGGGCATAGTGAGAGGTCTAATGACTTATTGGGACTCATATATATAGACGTATGTGGACTAATGAGTATAATTGCTAGAGGGAGTTATCTGTACTTACCTTAATTGATGACTACAGTAGATATGGATACATCTATCTAATGAAACACAAATCTGAATCTTTTAAAATGTTCAAAATATTTCAAAATGAAGTATAAAACTAACTTAGTAAGACTATTAAAACTCTTTAATCTGATCGAGGAGGTGAATATTTGAGCTAAGAATTCATTAATCATCTCAGGAGTTATGAGATAGTCTCATAATTAACTCCTCTAACAACACCACAATGGAATGGTATTTTTGAGCAAAGAAATCATACACTATTAGATATGGTTCGATCCATGATGGGTCAAGTAGATCTTTCACCATCCTTTTAGGGCCATGCACTAGAAACAACTGCGTTCACACTAAACCGTGTTCCATCTAAGGCAATTGAGAAGACACCATATGAGATATGCATTGACAAGAAACCTAGTTTGTCTTTTCTCAAGATTTAGGGAAGTGAGTTTATGTTAAGAAACAAGCCTCAGACAAGTTAGCACCTAAATCCACAAAGTGCCTTTTTATGGGGTATTCTAAAGAAACAAAGAAATACTATGTCTACAATCCTACCGATAATAAAGTGTTTATAATTTGAAATGGCATCTTTCTAGAAAGAGAATTTATCTCTAAAAGAACCAATTAGAGCAAGATACATCTTGAAGAAATTCAAGAACCACAAAATAGCATAGAATTATAGATGGAAAACTAAGAAAACTCACAAGAAGTAAATGAGCCTACTCAAATAACACAAGGCCTGTAAAGGTCTAATAGGACACAGCATCACCCTTAAAGATATAGATTTCTAATTAATGAATGTTGTGATGTGTTTGCTCATTGAACATAATGAACCAACCACCTACCAAGAATCCATAATGGGACCAAATTTTGAGAAATATCTAAATGCCATGAGATCTAAAATGTGATCCATGTATGATAATAAGGTATGGACCTTAATTGATCCACCTGAAAGAATAAAAACCATCAAGTGCAAGTTAGTTTTTAAGGAGAAAATTGACGTGGATGGCAAAGTAAATGTCTTCAAGGTATGATTAGTTACAAAAGGATTCACCTAAACCTATGGTGTAAACTATGATGAAACCTTTTTACTAGTTGCAATGGCCAAATTAATCAGAATCCTCCTTGCTATTGCAAAATATTATGACTATGAAATATGTTAGATGGATTAAAGCAAGCATCTCGGAGTTGGAGTCAACATTTTGATGAAGTAATCAAAGAGTTTGGATTCATTCAAAACATTAATGAACCTTGTGTTTATAAAAAGGTTAATAGTAGTACAGTTATGTTTCTAGTGCTATATGTAGATAATATCCTATTCATTATTAATGACATTCCCACCTTGCAGAATGTCAAGTCTTGGTTAGGAAAATCATTCTCTATGAAGGACTTAGGTGAAGCCACTTACATCCTTGGGATTAAAATCTATAGAGATAGTTCTAAAAAGCTGATAGGCTTAAGTCAGAGCACATACATATATAAGATATTGCATAGGTTTAGTATGTAGGATTCAAAGAGGGGTTTCATCCCCATGTCTCATGGCATTCATCTCAGCAAAGACCAGTACACAAAATTAGCGAGATCACATGAGTAAGGTTTCATATGCCTCAACAATTAGATCTACCATGTATGCCATGCTTTGCACTCGATTGCATGTTTCATTTGCCTTGAGTATGACAAGCAGATACAAAGCAAATCCAGGAGAAGATCATTAGATTGTTGTCAAGAATATCCTAAAGTACTTAAGATGGACTAAGGATTTATTCTTAGTATATGATAGATTGGATGACGAGCTAATTGTAATAGGTTACACAAATGCAAGCTTCTAAACTGACTAGGATGACCTTAAATCACAATAAAGATATGTGTTCACCATAAATGGTGGGGTGATGAGCTGGAAGAGCTTAAAGCAGAGCACAACAGCTTATTTTGCAATATAAGCTGAGTATATAGCGGCATTAGATGCAACTAAGAAAGCCATTTGGATTAAAAAGTTCATTGCTAAACTAGGAGTGGTGCCTAACATCTCAGATCCAATAAACTTGTTTTATGACAATAGCAGTGCAATTGCACAGAGGAAGGAGCCAAGGTCACACCAAAAGATCAAGCATATACTCAGGCATTTCAACCTTATCAGAGAGATCAATAATAGAGGTGATATAAAAATATGCAAAGTAGCAGGAGAAGACAATGTTGCTGATCGTCTTACAAAGCCTCTTACATAGGTGAAGCATGAGAGTCATGTCAAGACAATGAAAATTAGACAAATTAATGATTGTACCTAGTGCAAGTGGGAGGATTTTGAAAATTGTGCCTTTGGGCCAATCAGTGTACTATGCACATTGTTATTTAATAAATTTTTCTTTTTCTATCATAATAGTTTCATGTTCAATATGATAACTGTATCCTTGAATAAACTATAGTGATTGTCCTAAATATCCCTGGTTGGTGATCTATGAGGGATCATAGATGAAACAAGACTAGTATGACTTTAATTAATTATAGAGATATAAATTAAAGTTATAGATACTTGAAAGAGTATAAGGTGCTGGACTGACTTGCTGTGAGAAAGTTGTATGGTAGAAGTCATAAGTTTATCTCATATATAACTATATCACTAAGCCTTTGACCCGAGATCATCATGGATTCCCACATGATGACCATTGAACTTTGACCTAGTCAAAAGTCACCTTTAACCCAGTGATTATAAAGGCTATAATTGAGTTTAGTGATATTCATGTAGAGGAATATGAGTGGTCAAGATGAAATTTGTCCCTCACATTAAGTGAGAGATATTATTAGGCCCTTTAATGAGTAAGATTGAGAAAATGTATGGCTATACTACAATGAAAAGAATTTTTTCATTACTACTGTCAGTCCACTTAGAGATCAAGAAAGGAATATTCAGGTAAAGGAGAATGACAATTTCATGTCTCATACTTAATCGAAATATCGCATGACAAAAGGGATGTGATATGGTTGTATGATAGATTACATCGGATCATCAATATCGATGCGAATTGGGTAGTTTCAATGTCTTGCCAAAGACTACTTGTGACTTGTGGGCTAATAGCATAATTAGCTTACTGTTAATTTTATATGGGCCTACAAGGTTACACACAAGAACAGCCCAACTTGAGCTATAATATCCAAGTTCATTGAATCTGAAATATATCTAGATTCAATGAATCTAATATAAGGTGAATGAATTATATATATATATATATATTTGAATATTTACTAGATAAATATTTATATATATTTATATAAAATATAAAATTTGAAATATAATTATATATATTTTCAATATATATATATATATATCCATATATGTGTGTATATATATTAGATATATAAATATATATATATATATGATAAATGTATATGATATATAAAATTAAATATAGATAATATATATATATATATTTGAAATATATATGTATGTATATATATATATTCATATGTGTATATATATACATATAATATAATACGTATATATGATATATATCACATTAGATTATATTATATTATGTTAGTTTTAAATTTAATTTTATATGATAGATTACATTTAATAACTAACATGATATGAGAGAATATCATGTCAGTTTTATAATTTAAATTTATTTTATAAGATAAATTTGAATTCGATGTGATATCATGGATTAAATTTATGAGATAAATTTAATTATATTTTCGTGGGCCTTTTAAGTGGAAGACGAAAACCCTTATCATCTATATACTATATATAGATAAAGACGTTCTTTATGAAAGATGAGAGATTTAGAAAAGTTCTAACTGCAAAAATACTTTGAGAGCCATGAAACACCCTATAGAAAGAAAAAATAACATTTAAAGAAGAACAGATGCTGGGAGCACTAGCACACTATTCTAGTTAGAGAGCTGTTTGAGTGGATACCAGTAGAGAGAGTAGATTTATATTGTCAACTCTTGAGATCCAAACTCTTGAAAAGAATGTGCCCTATGTTTAAAGAATTAAAAGGTAACTCTTTTATTCACCTTAACTTAAATGAGTTCGTTCAATCTATATTAGGATAGGGACTTTAAAATTTTAATCTTCTGCTGTGTCTCCCTATGCAACATAACCTACATTGAATACACTTGCTTATTTTTAATTAATAACCTGCTGTGTCTCCCTATCCAACACTTGCTTATACTATATATAGATAGATTAATTAGGGAAAGGATTACCTATAAAATGTCAAAAGCATAAAAAGTTACTAAATGCTTGGAATAATGTTATCGATCTATTGATAGTATCAAACAATTTTTATACTTTGGTTGTATGCATGTGACTATTATGATAGTTGTTTGACTTTTTTATATTCAACCTCACCTATTTCTCATAGACCAATAAACTATGAATTAAGTTTTATTTCTTTGCAAGAGAAAATTATTGCTGCAATCCCATGAGATGTTGAGGCATGTAGATATGCTCTTAGATGTGGGGCTTGAAGAGTTCAACTGAACCTTATCTTGAGGATGCATTTCTTTGATCAGGTCGATACATTATCAAGTAGGTATTCTTTTACGTTCAAACATCAAATGATATATGTTTTGTGTAATGTCTCCTAACATTGTCATATCCTTAACCATAATTACAAACTTTACCATGGTAATTAAAAGATAACAAATCATATCTAAAACTTATCATGATAGAAAACACTTGACATCAGTGAAAAATAGCTAACTATAGTAGAAAAGGCAAGAACTAGGTTTAAAAGACTACTATGGTTAAAAGAATTTAAATTATATTATTAAGAATAAATATTATTGCCCCTACTATGATAGAATAGATTAAACTAGTATAAAAAAGACTACTATGGTAAAAAGTTTAAACTAAATCCTTTAAAATATTTAGGATCCCAAAGCAAATAAATTTATTTTGAAATTAAAGTTAATAAAAAAACCCCTTTTAAATCAAAGTATTAAGAAAATAGGATACATTGAAATCATTTACAGAGATAAAATTTAAGAAGTCCCAAAATAGAACAAGAAGTAACTGATTTGCCACTCTCACTCAGGCTGGTTGTTAACATCTAGAAGTTCATGTTATTTCATCACATTTTTCTTAGATTCTAATCCATTTTGGCTCAATTATGTATGTTTTTATTGCTTAAATTAGGAAAATGTGCATTTTGTTTTGGGTTTGTATTCTTAGGTTTAATTTGATATTTTTGGCCTAATTTGATGTTATTTTGGTTGAAATTTCAATTAAAAGCATTTTTGGAGCTTTGTGGATGTTTTTGGAAGGCTTTTAGATGAAGAAATCAAGCACAAAATGAATGATTTTCGTTAGCTGCAAAAACAGTGCAAAACTGCCAAAGTCGTCTGAAAGTCGTGACTTTTGTTCGCAACTTTCATCGCTATTAGAAAAACGCTGCGTTTCATTTATCAAAAATTGGTTGGCTAGGACATATATATGCTGATAGCTCGACCCAGAATGCATTCTTGAGACTTTTAGACACTTTTGGAGCTTGGTTGTGCTAGGGTTTGGGCATTGGATGAGTTGGGATCAAGAGATTGAAGCTTTGAAGATATTTAGAGCTCATTTTCTTCAGTTTTTCTATTCCTCTTCCCTTTCCTCGCTTGTAATCTGAAATGGGTCTATTTATTTTGATATTTATAGCTTGTGGATGATTATGAGTAGCTAAACCCTTTGTTCTAGGATTATTTGAAACCTTTGTATGGATTAACATTATATTTCTCCTCTCTTTTTGTGATTAATGATATATATATGTGTTTATTTTACTCTTTCCTTAATGCTTCTACATGATTGGCCACTATTTAGATGTTGGGTTTACTTAATTGATGCTTGAGAGGGCTAGGTTGAGTGTAGAACTTGGATAATATTGTGCAAGAACTTGATATTTGCATGTTGAATGGATGGTTTTATTAGTAAGATAGAGATATACTTACTAGCCTTGCATAGCCACATTAGGGTTGATGTTTAAAATTGAGTTTTATTAATTGTAATAAGAGATTGGGCAATTAATTTAACTAAACACTTGTTCATGATTTGAGAGAGCTTGTCCAAGTATTTTTAGAACCCTAAGTTAGCACTTTTTTTCATTAAAAGCATTTATGAGAGGAGGTAATTTTGGTGTTATGAAATGCGAGGGGGATAAATAATCCTAGGTCCTAAATTGTGTTTGAAGTTTGTGAATCACTCACTTTTCTTTATTTTTTAGTGTTAGTTTTATTTGCAAAATCATTTCACCTAACTATGTGTAGCTCAACTTGATCAAATTTGCTTAGTCTTTTGCTTGATTTTAGTTTTCTAAACAAATTCACGAGGGAACGATACTCTACTCATTTTATATTACTTGTTACGACCCGTGAACTTGCGGTGAGTAATACTGGTTGTTAGTTTGAGGATGGTAAGCCATACTAAATCTCAAGTTAACACGCATCGCTCTCTACAATACTTCTCAGAATTTTGATGTAAACCTCATATCATAGTTAGAAACTATATCTCTTAGCACCCCATGCAATCTCATAACCTCTCTAATTTAAATATCTACTAACTTTTCTAGAGAATTGTTGATCCAAATAGCTAGAAAATGAGCTGATTTCATTAGTCAATCCACCATCACACAGATGGTATCATGTCCTGATTGAGTTCTCGACAATCCAAATATAGAATCTATGAACATGCTGTCCTATTTCCACTCAGGGATTTCTAAAGCTTGCAATATTGTAACTAGTCTCTTATGCTTGATCTTGACTTTCTGACATGTCAAACACTGAGACACAAACTCTATCACCTCATTCTTCATGCTCGGTGTAACATCTCAAATTTCTAATCCTGTGATAATAATTAATTAGGGATTGAAGTAGTGATTTAATATGGGATTAGGGTTCTAGATAATGAGATGTTAATTTTACTCATTGGGACGTTATATGAATATATATGAGTGAAAGAAAGAAGTTTTAGAGTAGAGTGTTTGTACGTAATGAGGATTTCCCTTACTGTGCTATGCACCGCGATAGAGTTAGATGCATTGCGATGTATGGTACAAAAGTCAAATAAATGAGGTCATGATAGCTCGTGAAAAATAGAAGGAAAATAAGAAGAAAAGGGTTCAGATGTAGGGAAGAGCACAAGTTTTACTAGGGCATTGGTTTTTAGGAGCAAGAGTGATGTTTCTGAACTGTTACTTATCGGGTAAGTCTCGTACTGTTAATCTTCAATTCTATCCTGTTTTCTTAGTTTTAACTTGTGAGAAATTGAATTTGGGAGTTTTAAAGAGTTAATTTCTTACCCTATAGTAATAGAAAGGTTTTCTAGAACTAAACTAGTAGTTTGTGACTGGTTTGAGTTGGAATGATAAAGATTTGAAGCTATAGATATGATTTGACCTAATCGAGAGAGAGAGTAGTAAGAGAAATTGGGCTAGGTAAAGGTTAAAGCTTGCAATGAGGAGTAATTAGTTGTGATATGCGTGAGCAAACGTGAATTGAGGAATTGATAGCGATTAGGTGTCTAACTGTGATAATTGGCACTTTTTATCAATAATGAAATTGATTTTGGATGCCAATTTTGTATAGATTTTAGTATGTGATGCACGAGTAGCAAAGAGAGATTCAAATGAGGAAATTTCATGGGTAACCCTTTCTATTAGACAGAAGGGATATAGTGTATTGTGTTTATTAACTATTATAACTGTGTAGAAATAAATACAAAATGGAGACTTTGTTGTTTTATGAGTTTTATACATGGTTTGAAATTGTAAGCGGTTTTACCATGAAAATTGATTGTGAAATGAAATTAGAAAGGTTATTATTTTGATTGATATATATATATATATATATATGTTATATATAAATGTATACGAGATGGAAATGTGAAAAAAATAATGAATTGTGGAGAGAGTGTGATCATAAAAGGTAAGAGTTTGCCCAAAATATGTCAGGATGTGTGTGTGTGGAGAAGTGAGCAAAAAATTCATATGGCTAGGCTAGTACCATGAGACATTCAGTGCAGCATATTATTGGTTGGTACTATGGGTAATCCAATACAGCATACTTTGGGACTGTTACTATAGGACACATCAACTCCTTAGTACCTATTAGGGTGTGGTTAAGACTAACTGATGCCTTTATCACAAGTGTATAAAGAGGAAAACCATCATCCATAGGTGGGTTAGATTACCTTTGGCCAGGTGTTTCTACCACCAAAAGTGTGCATGGGTTAATAAGTGATTGATCCAAGAGAGCCTATGATTTCATGTCGGGGAATATTACAGGTTTTGTTGCTAGATTATTATGCTAGTGTGTATTTGAGTGAAATTCCTTTGAAAAGATGAAATTTCTTCATACTTTTGCTATATATTTGATATTACTTTACTTTTGTTACTTTGACATGATTATTTGTTATAATATACATTTAACAAACTATATTGATTATTGAGATTTTTATCTTGCCTATGGTTATTTATATTTTTCAAGTTCTTTAAAGGGAAATGATATTGGTTGAGTTGAGATATCTCATTTAAGCCTTTGTAAGGGTTTGGTGTAATGAATTTGTGTGTTATTAGGTAAGAAAGTGTATAAGTTACCTTAGGATTCAAACATGTGCATAATGTGTTGAATATGATATTTTGTTAGTTTCAAGCTTCCTAGCCCTTTATATATGTGTGGACGGTTAAATAATTGAGTGAGCTAGTAGATGAATGTGAATATGTTTTATTATGATATGTGCTTGATGTGTATGTGAAGATTTGGCCTTATATTAGATTAAGAAGGAAAAGTGTGATTTTGCCTACAAGTGTTATATGGGCTGTTTACAGGTCAAATGTGTGTATGTGTGTTATATTATGCATGTGTATGGTCAATCAAGTGTGTATTGTCCATTTGGATATGGTCAAGGCCTGAAAAATGGCTAATGATGTTTGGTTTCAAATTGAGACACTCGAGTGGCAAATTTTGACATAAAACGGTCAAAATATATTTGGGTTTCCAATTTTTTAAATATTTGATTGAAATGAAACTAATGTTGTAATGACCCTAAATTTAAAATTTAAAATAATAATAATAAAAATAATAAATTAATAATTTTTTTCCTATTGATATTTCATTCAAATTAGTTTTATAGTATATGGAGAGAGGTAATTTAATAGAATTTATGTTAGTAACTTTTTTAAAGGTCTAGAATTTGAATTTTATTGAGCAAAAGTTTGATTTTATTCTGTTTTAAATTATAAAAAAATTTTGTGCCCTTTCTTGTAATTTTCATTGTGCCCATTCTTGTAATTTTTCCAATTATTCATTAGTATCATATTCTTTTCCTCTTCTACCACCAATTGAACAAGAGAAAGTGATGAGAGAGTTAGAAATTAGATATGTGTCATTATTTTTATTGTAACTCCGCAAAAATATCTAGGGGTTTATTGTAATTTTTCAATGGGCTTTATTACTTAAATTTTCCTTTCCCTTTTCGATCAGCTAGGCAGAGCCAACTTCAGCAAGCTTGTATATGATTTTGCTCCTCTCTTCTCCTCTTTCTATCACACTTCCCTCGATCTTGTCGTGGTGTTATCACCTCCACTATCGATAGTCCATCCTTTCTTTTTCCCTCTCTCGTTCATCTACCTCTGTGGAATTGAGTAGTAAAAATTCTTCCTTTGTTTCTCCTCTATTGTAGGCTTACGATGGTGCATGAGGGTGTTTAAATTTCATCTTCCTCCTTCATTCTCATCATTCCCAGTGAAGGAGATGAGGATTTTGTGTGCTGCCATTCTTCTTCCTCTACTTTTCAGGTGAAGGTTGTTTGAGCCTCCGATCTATAGCCTCAGGCATCACCTCTTTCTTTGCTATTACAGCTTTCAATGCTGCTATGAGTGAGCTTGAAAGCTTCACTTATCAGGTTTTAAAATTGATGCTGTTATGGGAGTTAGTGTGTTGTTGTATGAGTTTTTAATGGTGGTTGTCTCTTCCCCTATACCATCATCATCATTCTTTTGTCTCTGTTTGCTTCAAGTACGTCCAGTCTCTCTCCCTGCTCCTTGTTCGTTTTGTGTGGGTGTGTTTAAAAAATGAAAAAATTTTGATTTGTTACTTCTTTTTCTTGTCGCCGTGAAGAATGGGGGAGATGGAGTTTTGAATTTCCTTGAGTTATGACTAATAAAAAAAGAACTTGGGAGGCTGATTTATTTAAATATTGATATTAAGAAAATTTTTGAAAATGGAAGTGAATGGGAAGAAGTTTGACATTATTTTACGAATTAATGCTCATGAGGTGTTTGATGAAATGCTCGTTTGGAGAATTTTGCTTGATTATGCATTTTATGAAATCTTGTTAATTAGGGTGAGAAGCATGACTGATTCAAATTCTATTTAGTTGAGATTTAACTTGAACATTACTAAGAACTTGATTTTAAGATATTGTATGGTTAGTTAAATTTTTGGAAGTTCCATATTAGGTAATCTATAACTATGGTATTGTTTTATCATTTGGTCTTGAGAATGCATAAGAATGTATTTAAAATGTTAGACAAAAATAAGTGAATGAAGTATGATGAAGTTTATTATAGGTGATGAATATAAACTAGAGTATTGTTTTACAACTTAGATTGGGAATATATCTGAGTTATTCAATAAAGTAAGCAATACATGAATGGTGGACTGATAAAGTTTTTGCTAGAGGTCTGACACATACTTTTAATTGATAATTAGCTATGGGAAGTTCTGTGATATAAATGATGTTGTTGGG